AAAAAAAAAAAAAAAAAGAAAAAATTGGAGAAGTCATGTAAATTTTGTATAATGTATGTAATGTCAATTATATATTCTCCTGATAAATAAAAATAAAAAAATAAAAAAAAGATTATACCAATTCACTTTGACCTTGACCTTGCTTAGACAAGCTATTAGCACAAAAATCCAGTCAGAATCAAACTATTCCTCAAAACGGAGGCTGTTCAAAAAGGTATCTGCAACAGGTAAGATGCTATTTGTTTATACAAGTTTTAGAACCCCACTTCAAAAGATCTGAGCTGTTCTTTTAAGGTCAGCCAGAAACATTTCAACAATATCACCAACACAAGCCATTTTTTATCTATGGTCAAATTATGAGGTGTTTTATTTAGTAAACCTATAAAAGTGAGCTGACAGTGTTTAGTAATGTCGGATGTGCTGTTCTGTCTCTGAACCAAACAGTCTGAACACATTCAGCAGTTTACCCTAATTATAAATTTGTTATGCATCTACAAAGTATGTTTTTCATGATTTTACGGAGTTTTGCTTTCGGAATCAATACACCCAAACCGATGAAACATTTATGAAAATAAAAGCTAGAGTGGTATACAATCATTGACGGATATCGTAAAGTGAATATCTCCACACAAAACTCGTTCCACATTGGAAAAGCACTGCTTCTGTTTTGAGAATACAAAGGGAGGTTTTCCAGCTACAGAGGAATGAGAGCAAACAGGCCTCGAGCCTAAGAAAACACTGTCTAACAAAGCCCTGAACCATAACAGATAATTACAGTTTGAACCGTGCAGGATTGTGTCTTTGTGCATGTAAACAAATATGAAGGCCAATGTAAAGCAGAGCCCTTTTGTTTTTGTTGGTTATGTAATGTAACATCCTCACTTTTCGCTCTAATTGCTGTACAAGGAAAGATGGAGTTAGGGAGGCTGCAATTTGAATGTATGAATCAAAGCTACAGACGGAGATTTGAGGATTAAAAAAACGTTGTCTGTACATTTTTCAGTGTGAGTTAGCCTTTTGGCTGCACGTTATAAACTGCAGCAAAAGAGCTGTGCTGTCCTTTAAACAATCATCTGTTGCTGTAAGTCTGCTTTACAGTACAATAAAATGCTTAAAAGGACTTTATTTTAGGATGGCACAACTAACAAAAGTGAGGGTCATCTGTTTTCAGAGCAGACGTAAGAAAATATCCCTTAGACTTCAAAATGAAACAGAGTGCGTAATGGAAAAGGGAAGTAATGATAGAAGAGAGAGGGGATTTGCTGAGTTCAAGTTAAAAGGCGTTCTGGGGCAAATAAAGAAGATAAAAGTCCAAACTTTTTTTTTTTTTTTTCTCACAAAGATGAGCAGTATGACATTTTGATTATTAAAAAACTGGAAAAAAAAAAAAAAAAGAACCGGTGTGTCAAACGCAAACCAAATCGTCTGCTGCACAAGTAAAAACATGCTAGAGTGACATTTTGTCCGAGGCTGAGATGATTCATCGCTGCCTGAGGGGGTGTGTTGGAAGACTGTAACTGAAATCTAAAGAAAACGGCACAATAAGGAGGAACGACTGTAACAAACAAAAGCACTTACAGCAGCTCTGTTCCAAGGACCATGAGCACCTTTGAATTTGAGTGGTTGCTGCTGAAACGCAGTCGGAAGAGATGGTTGGCACCAGCTTGGCGAGAGCCCAGCATGCTGGTGGGGCTTTTGACCGGAGACAGGTTGTGGTCTTCGGACTGACAGGTATTCACTTGGATCTGGTCCCTCAGAGCATAGTCGATCACAGTGTAACTGTCCTCACTGAAAACAGGATAGAAACACAAAACGCTTAATTGTTTCTATTTTACTCAGATGTAATTCAAACTCCTGAAAACAAGAAGTCAAACTGTGTTGTGAACTGCTTAGAAAATGTATTACTGACTTTAGTTTCAAAGATACAGCGACTCTGATCTTTGTTTTTTGCTTATTCAACATAAAATAAGTCCACCACTACATGAAAACTATACCATATTTTCCGCTGTAAAAGTCGCACCGCCGTATAAGTCCAAAAATGTCTAATAAAGTGGAAAAAAACATAAATACGTCACTTTGCCGTTTAAGTTGCATTTACTATGTGTCATCGCTGATGAGTCATGTTTGTTATGCATCACCGCCGACCACCCAGAAACGTGGGCTGGTGTTGTGCCAAAAATCGATTGGCTGCCAACATAGCGGCCACGGGAGCACGCATGAGAGGACTTTAACAAGAATTTATCAAGATTAACACGTAAAAACAATTATTTGTTTGCTCAAAATGATAGTAAAGATGTGTCTCAGTTTAACTTTTCCTTAATAAATGCACTTTAATGGTCAAATCAGCTGCATTTATCCTGGGCGGCGCAACGAAATGCAACTGATTTGACATTTGCTCCAGGAGTTCCAGAGCAAGATGAAGGTGGTTATATGGCAAGCCAAGTGTCTCATTAATAGCCACTTTTTATGAGACACTTGGCTTGCCATAATTCTTGAGGACCCTCTAGTGGCTGAAAATGGTAATGTTCAATATTTTTCATGTCAGAATAAATGAAATTGTCAGATCTCAGCCAAAATTTGAGTTATAAATATGGGGAAAAATATATTAGTCACTTCTGTGTTTAAGTCACAGGATTTGCAAATTTATGCAAAAAGGTGCGACTTATATGGCAAAAAATACGGTATTTCATCTCACAGACTTAAAGTATTTGCTCAAAGTAAAAACAGACTGTATGAAAACTCACAGAATCTGGAGGAAAACTGCAGTTTCACAGACAAATGCACTCAGTCAAACATAATTTTATTTTCCAGTGTTTAGCAAAAATGGGATACAAAATTCAAAACATGAGCAAAAACTGTTATTTGGGCTTCTTTATGCAATCTATAAGCCCTGTGATGGACTTGCAACCTGCCCAGGGTGTACCCCGCCCCTCGCACAGTGATTGCTGGACATGGGCACCGGCGACCCCCGTGACCCAAAATGGAAGAAGCGGGTAAAAGATAATGAATGGATGGTACCGGGAGTTGAACCAGCAATCTTACAATCACAGACCCACCTTCTCTAGCCTCTGTGCCACTATCCCCTTATTAGAAGTGGTGATTATTTTGAGACTTTAGTACCTCAGGTAATAGACACTTAATGCTGGTCATAAAGACAACAAAAACATTTTTTTAAACCATGCAATGACACTTTTCTTTTGCTTCACTTCAAATAAATAACTTAAAAATACAAATAAAGCAACATACGAAAAAGAAAAAGTACATACTTTAGATGTTTATGCACACATAAATTAGTGTCACAGGTTCCAAACAATGAACAAGTCCATATAAGCAGCTGTCTGTGTCTTTACAATAAATTCTCCTTTAGTACAGATACATTGGTTTCACAGGAGCTCAGTACCAGTTGAGCAGAACGGTTCTGATGCATGAGTTAGTTGGAAACATCTGGAGTGGACTGTGAGTTATGGTAGACTTAACACGCCACTGAATCTGGTGAAAATGCATGTGTGTTTTGCATCATACTCTATTATACAAGAACTAAACTCGAGTTCATACATTTCATGGACCCATTTTTGCTAAACTTGTCCTTGTGTAGCAAAAACTGAACAGTACTTTAAATATTTAAATAAAAACAGATGGTTTGAAATGTGAAATATATATGTATTTTATGTGAGCCAACATAAATGTTTTGCTGGCACAGCATACCCTTGAAGTGCAGATTGTACAGCGTGGAAACAGTATTGTCTGTGTTTAAAGACCATACAGGTTTCCAAACGTTTAATTTGTCAATCTAAAGGAAAAAAATAAATTTTATATGGTAGCTAAAACAAAAGACAGGACAAGAAAGATGCTTACGTGGTATATTTCAAAAAGGAGATGAAATGACGGTCTGCAAAAAGCTAATTTTTTTTCTATAAATGAAAGTAATAGAAAATCCTCACTGAAGCACTATTTTTTTTTAAAGTCCATTGTAAACATGACAGATGCTGAACACTTTTCAGATCCTGCATTTTAAACCAGATAAGAATGTAAAAGTTGTAAACTGTCCCAGTAAACAAACAATTCACCAACTCTCTTTTTTATATAAAGTTAGTGGTGGGCACGGGTCCGCTAATCCGCTAACAGCAGAACTAAGTAACATTCCGTTTAGCGGATTAGCGTTTTTAATAACTTTGAAAATGTTTAGTGGAATTAGCTTACGCTAAATTTAAATCTGATAAATTGTAGTCTGCTGACTTTTTTTTTTAAGATAGACCTTTGCACTAAAAACATTCAGATGATTGGTGATTTACACAGAGCAAGGCTATGCAGAGTTGAGCTAAGCTAAGCACCACCCAACTGGTGGTGTCGCCACACTTTCAGTGCTTTCCCCCCTCATATCTACCACAGTCTCTGACTCGGTGTCAGTTTACAGCCAATAACAGAAACTTTAACATAAATGAAGCACAAACTAAACTAAAACAGGAAAATATCATGACAAACCCATTTTCACACTCAGAATCATTGTAAATTGTCAGAAACACTGCACACATAATGCATACCCAGCATGCTTTGCAACATTCACACAGTCTCTGGGACGTGACTCTCTCACACATTTCACACTTTATACTTCAATACAAACGGATTTATCACCGGGAGAATATTTTTCGATGATGCTCATCAACTTTGTAGTTAGTTTATAAAAGTCGTTAACAACAAAGAAGATTGCCAAAGTGAGTTAAATCATTTTAGTAAATAACACAAGACACAACACACACTGAATGCATCACTCTGCTTTAGCACAGTGAAGTTCTACTTCGCCTCTTTGGTTCTGATGGACCGGATTAATTTGTGAAAGCTCACCTCATGGACGCTTTACTTGTGATTTATGAACCGTTTTGAGTTGTGTCCACTCACAACGTTGTCACATTACAGACAGTCTTACTGTGTCAGCGACAGCAGTGTATGATGTTAGCACTTTAGCGTTAGCTTCTGCTATTTTTTTTTTATTTGTTTAGCAGTTTAGCACTAGCAAAGCTATTTTTTTAGTTGTCAAATTAGCAGTTAGCTGTGCCCACCACTGTGTAAAGTTTAAACAATGAACAAATGTTAACATAGCTTTAAATGTGTATTTCAGTTTGCAAAGCAAGATTAGCTTCTAAGCTAACAACCTAACTTCGGCTAGTTGCTAGTACTTATAACCATTATATAACTTAAAGCAGAGACTTTTATTTTACCCAAACCCCTTTTAAAACATTTCTTGGGCTTTCTGTAGATCATATCCACAACGTACACAAAGTTTTATTAACATTTAATATTGTCACAATATCTTAATAAATGCTTCTCACACAAAGTTGCTAATCCACAATAATTGACCCCAAACTAAAAAAGGGTTATAGTTTGTACAAACTGGCTAAGTATTATTGCTGTGTTCAGTATGGAATTCAAAAACATAATTAAATAGATGGTATTCTACAAGGTGATTTAGCAAATTATTAAAATTTTGAGCTATATATTTAAAATGCTTAAAATAAACATTGTTTGCTCTTTATTTATATTCTCCTGTGTTTAGAATGAATTTCCTTTTTGGTTTTAAAGTTAAAAGTCTAAATTCCATGTGATAAGCATTAAGTGCAAAATTATAAGTACATTACAAGTATTTTATCCAAACTGCCTATGCACATGTTTTTTTTACAGATCTTCACTGTTCACCAAAGAAGTCCTTTATATAAACCAAATTAAAAGAATTCCTAAAGTTGGGAGGGGGGGGGGGGGATAAAAAGCCCAATTACTTTAATATTGATCTAGCTACAAAACGTTTAGATTCAGTGGCATTTCAGTCCCTGACCGCTCTTTAAGTAAAATTCCAAGGATACCATTTCAGTGACAGCAGTGTGTCTCATGGGTGGGGAAACATTCATGTGTGTGTGGGCGAGCTGGAGGGTCGTGTCAAAAATTTGCTACACGGTCAAGGGATGAAAGTGGGGAACTGGTTAAAATATCAAAGTTTGACATGAAAATGATAAACTTGTAAATAATCTGTATAGTCAGTGCTCTCAGCTCAGGCACCGACAAACCTTGATAGAAATAAACACCTTGTAGTTGATATGAAAATCTCTAGTGAGATAGCACAGGCATCTAATGTATGTTATCACAACACTAGCAGCCACCACATTTCTTATGTACATCATGTTCTTCAGCAAGCAAACAGAACGAGTGCAAATCCTCAGATAGACGCAGAGATCAGACTCCAGATGAAGCATGCAGGCTGACACATGAGCATATGTCGCCTACTGTTCTAAGACAGGGGTGTCCAAACATTTTCCTAGGTGGGCCAGAACTATCTGGGATATTCAGCAAAACTGCTCAGGGGACCACAGTTTTTGAAACAGCTCAGGGGCCGGACATCCAGAGATTAAAATCATTATGCAAATAAACCATTTTTATTTTCTTCTTCTTCTTTCAGCTGCTCCCTTCTGCAGGGATCGCCACAGCGAACTAAGTCGCACGAAGACTTGGCAGTTATTTTTACGCCTGATGTCCTTCCTGACGCAACCACAGACCACCGAGCTACCACAGCCCTCTGTGTGGAGCAGAGAGCTGCCATCTAGGACACCCGGTGGAGCAGATGGTGGGGGTTAAGGGCCTTGCTCAAGGGCCCAGAGTGGGATGAATGAGGGTGGGTGCATCACCTACCCCACCCACATTTTTGATATTGTCGGTACCGGAACTTGAACCGGTGATCTTTCGATCACAGGCCCACCTTCTCTAACCTCTACGCCACCACTTCCCATTATGCAAATAAACCAAAGTTTACAGTGATCCGTTACCTTTTAAATTTGTTACTTTTATTGCATTGAATCATAAATGCAATAAACAGAACCCAAAATCCAGAACCCAACAAAAAAATATATAAAATAATTCTTTTTTTAATTTTTTTTTTTATGAAGTGGGCCAGATTGAAGTCACCGTGGGCTGGAAATGGCCCGCTGGCCACCAGTTGAATAGCCCTGGTCTAAATGAAAGGACTCTAGGGCCAGAAAAATCTGAATTTAAGAAGAAAAAATAATTTAAAGCGTGATTTTTTTTTCCTCATTTTTAACAACTTGAATATTTTGAAGAAAGATTAAAAGTTTAGTTTAAATTCTTGTAGATTCAGAACATTAAGCGCCTCATAAATATTAATCTTTTTTTTTGTTTGTTTGTTTGTTTTTTTAAAGAATTTAATTTATTTGAATTTTTGGGGGGTGGGGGGGGTGGGGGACTATTATTTGTTTTCTTGTACTTTGAAAGTTCCTTTTTGTTTATTTTCATAGGCAAAAGCCTAAAATGAGTTATTTTAAAAGGGGGTGGAACTTCAAATACCCATATGGTCCATGAATGGCCCAAAAAAGGTCATCAAAGTTCTGAAAAACAGCTGGCGGTCACTGAAACAAATTCATAGAAGGTTTAAAGGGACACTGATAAAGTTGATTCATTTGTATGTTGATGATCCCACTTTATATTTGTTTAAAAATCTCCAATTTTCCCTCATCAATCATTTAATAAACTGAAATGATTTTCTTTGAAAACACTTGCTATATTTCACCAAGTTTTATGAATTATCATCAAAATTCTACTTTTTGGTAGGTCAGTGAAGGTTTGTTGTAGGATAAAGGGATTAATTATAGCTAAATTTTTGTTTTGTACTTGATTTCGCTCATTTGGAGAAGATTATTTTCATCAGTTTTGCTGTTAAACCTTAAAAATTTAAAAGTGTCAGCATTAAATCTAAAGAAGGTCTACATGTATCTGCATCAACCTCTTAAGCCTGTGGGTCAAAATTATACCATTCTTTAATTGCAGTCGAGGGCTGCAAAAAAAATCACACCAAAGGCCGCAAATGGCCCTCTGGCCGCACTGTGGACGCCCCTATTCTAAGAGAAAACACTACAACATAAAATGCTCATATCTATGCCCTATTTGAAAGAGGAAAAACAAGCTTTCTAATAAAAACAGCAAGAGAAGTTGGTTAGAAAGCACTAAAGATGAAAAGAAATGTAAATCCTGCTAAGTTTTAAGACACTGATACAGGAATAGGAGGGAAGTGAGGAAGAGAAAGGAGCCAGCTGGTGAGTTATGCAAGTGTTTCTGCGAGCCAGAGAGCAGCACTTTCCTGGTGCGTGACAACAAACCAGTTTGACATGGGGTGGGTTTCCAACTGTTAACCCCCGTTCTAGACTAGTCTGAAGACATTACAGGAAGTAGATCTGATAAGGAATTGTTTTACCTTTCTTAAATTAGCACACAAAAGCACATTAAATCAAGATCAAATACATCAACTAGATTCATCCAAAGACCAGATCTCATAATGTAAAATGAAGCTACAATGTTTTTGCAATTATCACTGAATGGAATGTTAATATACTTTATATGACGTGTTTAACACTGCTAGCTATTCTTTTCTATCCAAAGTGGATCTTCTGAAATGTTCCTTAAAAAAATCCAAAGAATGATGAGCACAATCTATTTTTTAATGTAATTTAAAAACTATATTGTAGAGTTAAAGATATAAATCTATATTTTGCTGCTGTGTAAATGTGGTGGCTTGGAGTGTGTGACCTCTGCCTTCTGACAGATTTTAAAAGCAAAACAAACAAGAAGGTGAAAAGGATCCAATATGCTTGACGTAATAAAGATAAGAGAAAGAGCTGTTGTATGAACATGCACAGGAGCGGCTGCGACCTGCTGCTGTCTGGCCTCGTGAACTCCTGGTGTGTTTCAGCTTTCATTACTGCAGAGGGAGTGCAGGAGAGTGGCGTGCCAAAGCTCAACTACAGCCCTCCCCTCAGTACAAACCAATATTATAACAACGTCTCCCTTTCAAACTAAAATGCACTGATTCCAGAGCACTCCCATTCCCAAATCCCTTCTTCAAACACAATCCTGATACCACACACTGCTGGAGTCGGCCGTCCCGGATCAGGTTCTCAGAAAGAAAGAAAAAAACGCAATAAGGAATGTTGTTTGGTTCCTTTTTTCCATGATTCTTGGGAACTTTTACTCTGCGAGAGGAATGGCAATCAGAGCCAGCAGACACATGAGGCTGGAGGAAAAGATTTTTCTACAAAATTTACAAGCATGTGAGTGGACCTTCACATAAATTCGAACCACAACAGTTCAAAGAAGTCTACGCACATCTTCCTCCTTCCATTGTGCCATCTTAGGCGTAGGTGGATACTATAGCAGACTCACTAAGGTGACAATGAAAAAAATGTTCTAACCCCAGAATAACATCAGGTCTGCCATATTCAGACAAACAGAATGTGATTTAAAATATAAGATTAGCACATTAAATCATCCCAGATTTTCCTGAATCAAAATATTTGGAGGTTTATGTTGAATCATGTTCAGAGATTTGGAGCAGAATTCTAACAAAGTGAACAGATTGTAAGTCTAAAGTATGACTGTACTAGCCCAAGCAGGATGAAAGCAACACAAAAAGAAAGTAAAACACATATTGTCATGTGAATCAACAAAGTCCATGCTCAGTAATCCCAGTGTCATGTGCTTGTCATCATCATCTAATCTGATCAGTTTCTGTCCTCTGGGCAATAAAAGAAAAGTGAAAAGAAAATTGTTTTCTGGCGATTTTAATAAAGTTTTAAGCTTTTGTTCAAGATGTATACATGAATATCACTTTGCCACATAGAGTGTAAAAGAAAACAAGAACTAAACTAAATAAATCCTGTCCACTTGAATGGATAGGTTAGACATTTTGAAATATGATTCCTTGGAATTATTATGAACAAATTATATATATATATATATATATATATATATATATATATATATATATTGTATTTTTTTTTTTTCCCCGTACATAGCTTTTTAAACTGCCTCAATTTGGAGAAATTAATTCAACCTTTATTTAAACAGATTAGTCCCACTGAGCCACGAGGACTCATTTACAAGAGAGACCTGGAAAACAGAAGTTTATTGTGACTGAACTGGTGAAGCCAGGTGGTGCGAAGTAAAAGTAAAACGCTGTCATCTTAAAACAACCCTGATGTCACAAATTGTACATTAAACCTTTACACTACCATCACTTTTACATTACCTAGGAGGGAGTAAGGTTCTTTTTCTGGGTTTTGTTAACGAGTGAGGGAAGAACGGAGCGGGAGGTTAACAGATAGATTGGTGTAGTGTCTGCAGTATTGTGGACTCTGTGCCGGTCCGTTGTGGTGAAGAGGGACCTGAGCTGCAAGGGAAAGCTCTCTGTTTAATGGTCAGTCTACGTTCCTATCCTCACCTAAGGTCATGAACTCTGACTGAAAGAACAAAAATGCAAATACAAATGGGGTTGAGATTAATTTATTTCGCAAGGTGGCTGGACCCTCCCTTCAGTTATCTGAGAGAGACTCGGAGTAGAACCGCTGCTCCTTGGCATCGAGAGGAGCCAGTTGTTTGTTTGGGCATCTGGTAAGGAGGCCCTTGAGTGCCTCTCTACAAAGGTTTTACAGAAAATTATCTATTAGCATTTTTAGGAGACTGCGTATTTAAAAGCACAAATAGCAGAAGTTTGCTGTAGCATTTTGAGTGCAGCCTAAGGCACTTCCAGCGAGAATATCATATTATTTCTGCAAGAACACCAAGTATTGTGAAAGTGATGGTGACGTGAAGGCTTATTAAATACGCTTTGCATTAAATTTTGTTTCAAAACATCAACACTCTATTTAAGTCTTGTCCTCACCTGGACCAGCTCATCAGTCTGGTCAGAATTTCTCCAAACTGAGGCCGTTCAAAATGTTACCAACAGCAGGTAAGATATTAATTTGTTATACCCTTTCCTTACCGAGTTCCCATTCAAGAGTTCTGAACTATAGCCTGAAGTAAAAAAAGTGCAACATAGTGTAAAGGTATAAAAATTTGGAGCTCTTCATTTATTAAAATAAGAGATTAAATGAGAGGGTGTGCCTATACTTGTGTGTTATTTGTATCAAGATCTCACAAGTATAAACGAAGAAGAATGCCACCACCAGGATACAAAGGACTTTGACTTGAACCTGAAGTCAATATGCTAAGACAATAATCCTGTTTAATTGCACAGGCTTCTGCTCAGTTTCAGAACCTCGTTCATAAAGAACTGCAGAATCAGAAAGAAATGCCATCTGTCTGTAGAGCATCACCTTTTTACTTCATCATATTTGTAGTATAACTTGATAAAAACAAAACATAAAAATTTCTGAATAACTGTCTCTTTCCAAAAGGGGTTTTCCAAAGCAAGTTCAAACATGACTAAGGAAAAACAAAACTGAAACACCTTGCCTCCTGGGTTTGAGGTGGCAAGTGAAAGTCCAAAGTCTTTGACGTCAAGTTCACCCTCACTTGTGTCAGCGCAGTTCATTTAGGAGAAAATCCTTCAAACCAAGGTCACAGATAAATCACACACAAATGACCAGAATTCACTGGATAACACAAGTCGTTTGCCTCACCTTTTTTTTCTGGTGACGATGAGCACGTCGTTGAAGAGGAGGAAATAGACCTGCTGGCGTGACGTTCGCTTCAAGAAGAGGCTGCTGTCCTCCACAAAAGTAGTCAACTCACCTCTCTTTATCATCCACCTGGAGGATGAGACCAGGGGGAAAGGCTGGAAGAAAGACAGGGCCATGATTTTAGAACATCACTCTAATGTTGGGTCTATCAGTGCAAGTCACAGTTTGTGGGAGTGTAAGAGTGGTTGTCTGTGCAGAGGGAGAATCCAGCCTCCAGACATCTGTGAAGCACAAATGTCCCAGCAGCTATTTCCCACACTAGTTAGACACACTTGTGCGTGCCAGGCCTTGTGTGCTTAATGATTTTCAAGATCTATGCCAAATGTGAGACACCGTTTTGCATCACTATAACTGCATGTACAATATGTATGGGCAAACATGGCAATCAAAAACGTGTATGCTTAACGTATGATTAGAAACATTTGTACAAATTTTTGTAAAACATGGGAAACGGCTACTTTGTTGAACAAATCATTACTTAGAACAGTATGTATTTGATTTAAATAAGACATTGTATTTGATTTTAATAAGACATTTGACACCTTAATTCATAATATATTTGCCAATCCCAAACAGTGTGTTAACAATGATGGCAATAAATCATCTATACTTAAATTAATAAAGGTGTACCACAAGGCTCAGTTCTTGGCCCAGATTTGTGTCTGTCACATTTATTTTAGCATTTGCAAAGAGCAGAAGCACATGAAAAAATGAAAAAAAAATTGTAAATTTTCTGACATTATTCGCTCTGTTATTCTTTTGATAGCACATTGACTGTATATGAGACGAGTGGCAATATTCTTCTGATCTGGTAATTAAATAAACAAGTAGATACCAGTACCTGAATAACTATTTACATTTTCCAATTTGTGCTACATTCAATGCCCAAAACAAAAAGCTTGAATTTTATGTTAACAGTAACTAATATGAAATTTTTCTTTTTCTTTTTTTTAATAAAATACATCAGCAAAACAATGTTGTACTTGAACTCATATAGTTTGAGCTTCAAAAGTACTAATATTGCAAAGTAAAATAGTTGAAAGTAGAATTAGAGCTCATAGCATGTAATGTGAAAGGCAGAAGCAATTAATTGTTCAACTACATTTCATGGCAACAATAGGAGATGATGAACAAATCATTAACCATCCACTCGGCTTATAATACCAACATACCAAAAAAAAAAAAAAAAGTCATTTTATACTTTTAATACCATATTTTAGTGTTGATCAGCCTTTTATATGTGTGTTTTTGGTGCATTTTATTGCTACCATACCTTTATTTTGAACTCCAGCTGAGAGTTGATGGTGTACATCATTTCTGTTCTCTCCATAGTGCGAGCTCCTTCGTTGCACTTTCGTACCACCTGAACACACAAACACATCATCCATTAAAAAACATTTGTCTGACTTCCATCTTTTTAGTATTGGTGTTAGTATGTACAAAGTATTTTAACGCATAGAAATGCCCAACCAGGGACTGGAGTTGTGAATTAGCTGTAGCTATATACTCTGTGCAACGCATCAGTCACAGACTTGTTCTGTTCTATGTTTGTGTGCACTGTTCCTGTCAAACTAACTAACTAACTAACTAACTAACTAACTAACTAACTAAGTATAAGTATTAGTACCACAATACCATAAAACAGAATTTTCAAAATGCACTGACAGTGATATCAATCTAATACACTATTTTTAAATTAATTGATAATTAGTGACATTAGGGCTGATTTATTCAATTTATATTCAACTTGTATTTTTTTTTCTGTTGTTAGAAAATTGTTTTCTAATTCTTGGCCAGGATTATGTCATAATCTGTGTTTTTTCAGTATTTACTTTTCTATTTATTCTCATGTTTATTTTTTATGGTGTTTGGTTTCCTGTATTTTCTCTGTGTTCAGTTTGTTTTGCTGCCTTCTTGTGTGTCTGCCATTTTCAATCATTTCCTCAGTTTCCCATTCCTCGGTCATGCCACGCCCATTTCCATTTGCTCCTCATTTCATTTAGCTCAGCTGTTTCTCATCTCATCATCAGCCTCACTTCATATAACCTTTCAGCGTACAGTCTAAAATTCAGTAGTGCGTTACGCATTTTTCATGCCACTTCCTGTTTCCGCTGTGACTTTTAGAAACTCTTTGTGTTGCCCTGTAACAACCCTGAATTATGTAAGTTTGCTGTCACAGCAGCTTTTTGTTTTATTTATTAAAAAAAAAAAAGTTGAAGTTTTGAGCTCTTCATGTCGGTCTGAATTTCCTGGTTACAAACTGCCAACCGTGACATGGTGCCACAAAACCAAAACAAACTGCAATTTCAGTTAAATAACAAATCATTTATGTTTAACATTTGCTTGCGTCCCATAATTATTAGTGCAATAGTGT